ATATAAACATTAACCATGAAAAAAAAAAGAATGAAAAAAATTCCATAAAATCTTCAAACACGAACAAATATTCAAAAATCTTATAAACAACAACAAACTTCGATATGGTAGATTAATATTCTCACAAACACATGAACCAGCATGTAGTGAAGAAATGACAAACACATTCAAATGCAACATAGGTGTAAACATTTCATCAAGAAACAATGTAACGTTATAAATGCAGAATATGGAAACATCCACACTAAATCATCAAATATCATTTCTGTACATGCTTCGAAATCTGTAGGTTTAAATTTAAGAATTTCAACACTAGTGTCATAGAACATAGAATTTGGTTAAAAGAAGATCTTGCAAAATTGCGCGCTAATTATGCATCAGTATTCAACTAATTACTTAATTAACTCCATGCTTATTCTCCAGTACAAAATACGAGGATGCACTTATTTCATTAATACGAAGAATTCCATTTTGCTCTGTTGCGCCAAACCTACTGGTGTTTGTTTTTGTTTCACCATTTGTGTAAGTGTGGAGGTCGATTTCCAACAGTAAATTTGTACTAGGAGTTAATGATCAATTTGCGAAGTGGTAGATGTTTGATCTGTTTGCCTAAGATCGATCTAACAAATAAACAATAATGTAAAGTGTGCAAAATAAAGAGACACGTGAATTTATAGTGATTCACCATAAATGATAGGACTATATCCACTGTAGTGTTTGTTATTTGCACTATTTACGTAAAGAATAATATAAAAGAGCTCATAGAGCTTGAAAGAGACAATAATGGAGGACAAAGAGAGAGAAGAACAGCTCTAGGGCGTATTTCAGAGATAATGCTTGAATTGGGATGTGATTGGGCGTCTTTCCATTGCCTTTGTGCTGAAGTAAGGCCTCATTTTATAGCTGTAAACTCTGATTGCTCATTTAAGGCTAGTTTTCCTTTCTTGAATAGAGTTGACTTTCCTGATTGTGATTTTATTTAATTTTTCTTGTAGAATCCGTATCTTCAGAGATTTGGATCACGTTTAGTGCGATTTGATAGCTTCCCAAAATCCCAAAACAGAAGGTCATTTAGAAAATGCTCGAAATATTCGAGCAATCGTAGTAGACTCTAGTTGCTGAAATTGTTCTAGGATGATCTTAGATTTAGACTCTCTTCTAGCTGTCTTGGGCTGTTGAATCCTTTCGGGTGGTCTCCTTGGCTAACGCTCTTCAAGCCTAGTCGACTCGAGTTAACACACGCGCACGGTATAGACCCCAACAGTAAGCATCACAAATACGCACACATAAAAAGACAATGTCCCATGACTTACAAAACAAAGACGTGATCGGCAAGAGTTCATTAAAGGAATTTATGATTCCCTTGATGCTACCTTAGCACTGTATGAACAATCTCTTTTCCATTAGTGAGAAAAACGGAAGCTCAATTAAGACCTCTTTTCAGTCTCTTAAATGCATAGTAAACACAAATTTAAGTGTAGTATCTCAATCAAAAGCCCTATAAAAGGGCTTTCTCATACATTATCGAAGTACTCTTTAAAACAAGCATATTCAATTGCCACTAAAACAAAAACATATTATGGGTTATCTCATAACGAAAACTACTACTTATTATCCAATTTAATCCAAATTCTAACCAACAAAGAACAAAGACAAGTATAATTACAACATTTTCTTCCCAGAAAAAGGCAGTAAAAATAAAATGTTCCTTTCCAGTGTGTGGATTAATGGTTTGAAGCACACTCTCAATTGCCTTGTACTCCATTTCTTGAAGCCTTTTGGGTAACTTGGAAGGACCTAATACACACTATACATCCTTACCCACCGCCGCCTTAACTTGAAGCTTAATTTGCCCCTTTGTCTCCGTTTCCCTTGCAACTTAGAGGTGTCAATTGGGGACAACCCAGCCCAACCTTGTACTGTTGCGGGCGGGGGCCTGACACGCCAGAAGGGTCAGGGTTGGGCCTCATCTATGAAGCCTGTAGCACGGCACAACACTAGCCTGTAAAGGGCTCCGTGAAGCAATTCGGGCACATTGTAATTTAATTGTCCTTGTATTTATACTTCACTCTTTTTTTCTTTGCGGCAATCATTTTAAAGGGCTAGTCCTACTTAGCCGGCCTACTAAAAGTCCTAAAGGGCCAGCCTGTACGAAGGCCCTATATGGCTGGGCCTAGTAACCCGACCTGGCCCTAAGGACAAGAGTCGCGGCCAGGGCTGGGCCTGAGGCTCTCTCCTTAGGCCGGGCCCAGCCCGGCCCTATACTGTAGAGGATTGTGCAGGCCTGATATGGGCCGGGGATCAAAATGGTCGGGTTGGCCCGGCACGGCCCATTTAACACCTCTACTGCAACCTATAACCACACCGATATTCAACAAAAAAGACAAAAGTTCTCCAAATTATTATTTTAATTTTATAATCTAGCTTTTATGAATAATCTACCAAACTAATTTGAAAAATCAGACCCAAAAAAGTACTAGAATACAAACAAATCTAAAAGAAAAAAATTCATAATCTATAACAAAATCACCTAAATCTCAGATATGATCAAAAGAACAATGAATCATCTGAAAATCACAAAGAGCTCATAATCTGACTTAATAAGAAACAGCCGATCGAAAGTGACGGAAAATGAGAGAGTGGGAAAATTCAGAGAAAGAATTAGTG